TTTTGGATATACCCCCTCCTCAATTTTTGTCTTGAATTGGCAAGGATTCTCTCTGAGTTACGTTGTGTACAGGTGACCGTAGAATGGGAATACGCATGCTGCACCACCCAGAAGCAAGAAAGAAAAGTTGGTGCGAACAAATTTCAGTTTGTGAGTTAGGAAGGGGTCAAGTTCGGTGAATACTCAGCTAATCTGGTTCACTCTTTGCCCCCCTACCCCCAGATCTGAAGGCATAAACTCATAGGGGGAGGGGCTTATTCAACATGTGAAAGAACAGAGGAAAAGGGAAGAAGACAGGAGGTGATTTTGCTATGATTAGGGCTTGGTAGAAAAGGATGTTTTGCTTTTTGACCAAAGTGAATTCTAGGGGCCAAGCAGTCAATATTGTCAAGAATCACAGGGACAAAGACACTGTCCTGGTTCAGTTCAAGTATGGAGGGTTGGAGACCTGAGGAACAGATGGAATATAAGATAAAAGTAGGAGGGTGCCTGGGTGGCTCAGTTGGTTGGGCGTCCGACTTCAGCTCAGGTCATGATCTCACGGTTCGTGGGTTTGAGCCCCGCATCGGGTTCTGTGCTGACTGCCAGCTCAGAGCCTGGAGCCTGTTTCAGATTCTGTCTCCCTCTCTCTCTTACCCTCCCCTGCTCACGCTGTCTTTCTCTCTCAGAAAGAAATAAAATATAAAAAAAAAAAAAAAGTAGGGACCACAACTAGAGTCAGACATGGGAAAGCAGAAGGGACTGGGTAGGGTACCATGTTCAGAAAACCACCAAGGACTTCTCTGCCTGGAGCTGGCAGCCAGAATAACCTAGGTACTTCCATTGGCTGTCCTCTACCATATGTCATCTCCGTACCAGGGAAGCACATACAGAGATGCTCTACTTGGGAGATTCTTTATGTAGTAATGCTTCCTGAAATTATACCAATCGAAGATGCATCATTGTTCAAGAAAAATGCAGAACACTGAGTTGTATAGAGAGAACAATAAAAATGTTAAAATGGTGCATAGACATAATTTGAAAGAATGCATTAAATATCTCCTTCACTCTTCTTCTCTGGGGATTTTTGTTAGATCGCTATGTTCTTTCAAATGATTTTTATAATTTAAAAGAGCTATTTCAAGAAATGAATCAGGTTTTATAGGTATTTTTTAGATGCTTTTGTAAAAGGAGGGAGGCAAGTAGTGATCATTTCAGCACTCAACAAGAAGTATAAGTAAGGGAGGGATAACTATGGAGAATCAAAAGAGCATCCAGGAAATAGAATTATTTAGCCCCCAGAAACACAGAGGAGAAAGACAGACCATTTCTATGGCCTAACAGTACCACAGAAATAAAATGAATCTAGGGTTAGAGGTCAAACCAGCTTATGTCTCTTCCATAGTGGAGTGTCTGAGGGCAAACCGTGTGTCTTAATTTATACAATGTGAACAAAATTACTCATCATGCAGGTTGCATTTTAAGAACAAATTAAAGACGATGATGTCTGGAAAGCACCAATCATACTACACAGCTAAGTCTCTGTAATTTATTGCTTATTTTAAATTTTGGTTGTGATCAGCCCTGCCTTCTCTAGGGTACCAAGAAACCTTACAGAAGAAAGGGCGCAGGGAGTTCCTTACCTTATAGAACCCCAACCTTGCCAAATGGCAAGAGGATCCGAAGGGATGGGAGCAAGACACACATACACACCCCCCCCACCAGGAAAGCCAGCAGGGCTAGGGGGCCCTTGTAACAGGAAAAGGATAAAGAAACTAGTTTTAAACTTCCCTTGTACTCAGCAGTATTTTTTTGGAACGACAGGATAAATGACTGGATGTATGAATATACAAATGTTTATTCTTCCAGGTAAACTTTAGAATAATGTCATCTGAAACAGTTTCTTCTTTTCAGTTCTAAAGATCACCCTGAGGTTTTATTTAAAATTGCAGTTGTGGGAGTTTCTGGACGACTATGACAGCAAAGTTAGGACTTTTCTGTGGCAAGGCTGGCTGTCCACCAAGGAGCCGCACGGGAGTGTTTAACTTCAGTGGATTTACCATCATCCGAGTGTGGCTGAGCTCCGGCGTGAGTCTTGCCAATGCCTCTGAGCTAATTGGACTCAGGGGCACTGATTTGTGCTCTGGTTTCATTTTAAATTAACAATCTTAAAATTTCCAATAAGCTCTCAACACTGGCAGAGACTTGTACCATATTTCTTCAGTAAGCTTGCCCTCCCAGTTTCTGACAGGACTCAGGTTACGGTCTCTGTTCAAAACCTCTTACCTCGTACCTGCCTGGACACAGGCAATAACTGTGCCTCACCCTTCGCTTGGAAAAACTGAAACATTCCCTCAACACCAACAAGTTCTCTCTCTTTCTTGAACGCACACTCAGCCACCCCTTCTTCTTGCTCCTCTTATTAAACTGAGAAATTGCCTTTCTTCCTATCAGAGGAAATTGACATGTTCTCTTGATCTTTTCCCACCTTGCCTCCTCGAGGACTTTGGCCTCCACCATATCTTCAGTGTCTCCCTCTCTACTCCCTCAATCATTCAATCAGACTGCAAACACATCTCCCGACTTTCCATATACACATACACACCTGGACCTCATACTCTCCGGCCACGCACTTATCTATTGAAATCTTGAGAACTCTCACACAGGGCACTTCATGTCTTCCATTCGGTTAATCACTATGTATATGTGACTCACATCCAAATTTATAACTCCAGCCGTATCTCTCTTCTCAGGGGAGAACGTGTGCGTTCGACTGATGTTCTTGACATTTCAGGGAGTCTCAAAGTTAACATGACTTTTCTGGAAAGTTTGCTTACCTTAAGTAAAAGCCGTTTCTCGCTCCAACTTCTCTATCATCTAAGTCACTACTAGGTCTTTTCTAGACCATTGCTAGCGACTCCCTTGCTAGTCTTCTTGTTCCTTCTCTTGCAAACTCATAGTGCTTCTCCACTTAAAACTCTCTATGGTCTTCCCATTGCATCGATAGTAAAATACAAACTTGTCAACCCCACCTCTGAAGACCTGGCCCGGGCCCTGCGTCCCCCACCTCACCAGGGGCCACTCTCTCCCTTGCCCACGGGTCCCCTGCTACCCTCCCCTCTTTCCAGTTCCTTGAACATAAAAGTTATCTCCTTTATAACTCGGGGGCTTCATGCCCACCCTTTGTCTTTTCCTTGCTTCTCATGTGGATGACTCCGTATCTTCCAGGTCTTCATTCAAATGTCACCTCCTCAGAGAGGTCCTCCATCACCAACTTACTGGGTTTCCTCAACTGTGCGACTATCACTACAATGGGTTTATATCCTTCATAAAAGTCATGAAACTTTGTAGTTATATTTTTACCTGTTTTTGTATGTGCTCTGTTCCTCTTTCTTCCCCAGTAGACTAGGCTTGCCCAGCCATATTTTATGCACCAATTTGTATCTGGTGCAGAACGACAGGCTGGGGCTTTTCAGACCTCTGCACCTTACCTTGTGCACTCCTTGCTGCCTCCACCCAAGGCTAGTAGTGACATCAGAAGCCTTCTCTGATGCTTCCCTCTGCTGCTGAGGATGGGGGTTCCCCACCACTAGAACCACAGGACCCAGGCCTGCATGGAGAATCCGTAGGTACCTCTGACCCTTCTGGGTGCCAAAGCTACACCGTTCTGTGGAGCTCCAGACATCCAGAAGACGCATGGAGTAGAGACATGCTTCTCTCCCCTTCTGTGTTACATTCTGTTAGCCGGACGCCAAAGCAAACATATCTTCTGTCTCTAATGTTTTAGAATGGAATTTTTCAAATTTGATCTCAATACAGAGTCCAGATGCTGCTGCAGTAATTTTTTTATTGTGTTTCCCAATTGTGTTGAGTACGGGAAAAAACAAGCAATCTAATATAAGCATATTCTGGATCTTCCGTAGGGCTACCTTATGATCCAGCACTGCCATATAATTTTAATGAACACAACCTATGTGTATTTATGGATGAATGTATTGAAAGCATAATTACATTATGAAATAATACACAAAGCTTTCAGCAATTGTGTGAAAAGAATAAACTGGTGGGGAAATTGGGTCTTTGCATGGCAGTCTAAATATGCCCCAGAGCAGAGTGTAGAGTTCATTCTGCCAACTGATGTCTTGGGTTGATCCCATCTTTGGATCTATCAAACAGCAACTGTTGATTATGTCTATGCATTTTTAAGTAGCATCATAATAAAAATAATATATCGGCGCGGGCTACCCCAAAGAATCTTTTACCCTTTAAAACTTGTTAATACACTACTTAAACTTTGAAAAACTTCATCAAGGAGATTTTAGAGAAAGCTATTCTTTCTGTGTTTTTTTTAACTTCTGTTTTATCTGTTGCTGTTTGTTATTTTTTAAAAACGCTTATTTATTTTTGAGAGACAGAGCACAAGCAGGAGAGGGGCAGAGCGAGACACACACACAGAATCCAAAGCAGGCTCCAGGCTCTGAGCTGTCAGCACAGAGCCTGATGTGGGGATTGAACCCACGGACAGTGAGATCATGACCTGAGCCATGATCAGATTCTTAACCAACTGAGCCACCTAGGCACCCTGTGTTTTATTTTACTTTTAATGAACAAACAACCTCTCTCTAAGACTTGGACAGAGATTCCCCAGGATTAGGCTGCAAGATGAACCTAAGTTACTGCCACCACAAGGTACTCTGAATCCTGCACTTGCCTTACCCCCAACAACTGTGGTAGTTTATAGGCCCATGTTTGACTGTCCCTTAGAATGAATTCTCTTCTAGAAGACCATTCATGTGAACAATCTCCTGGCACCCACCCCTCAGTCCTCATGGGTACACGTGCCTTATCACAACCTATGCCCAACCTGGGATTGCCACTGTCCTGGCTTGAAGAATGAATACATGAAAAATAAACAAGCAAACAAGCAATTGAATGATATAAAGAATTAGTTTGCCCAACAGTGGAACACCCATTGCTTGCTCACTATATGATTTGAAGAAAAATATATTCTCTTTTTCCAGGTAATAGAAGATAGATTCAAGATAGAAAAGGATAAAGGGAAAGCAAAATCTCCCAAGGAGAAGAAGGCCTCAGCTGCCAAGGTTGCCAAAGGGAAGGGAAAGGATCCACCTGAGGCAAACACAGCAGTGAAGAAGACGACGCAGCTACAGCGGAGGGGGGAAGACAATGACACTAAACTGTACATTGGTCAGTGAGATGCCCCTCCTGTGGGTTACCTTTCCCTGCCTGCCTTCCAATCCACAAAGTAGCCTGAGAAATCATTCCAATAATGACACTTAATCATGCACTCTTTATAAAACCACAAATCACATACTACCCATGATACCCTAATAGAAAAATACTGCTCTGTAGCAATTCATTTCTGTTTTCAGCAAATATTTATTTAGCTCGTGTCTTGCTGTTGGCACCTTTTCATAAGACAAATAGGAAATCACGAGCTAGGTGTGCCACCACCAAGTAGCTAGCTTCCTACCTCTTTGGGGACATTTTAAAAAGTCAGACATAATTATGAGACACACCAGAAAGTGACTATTATAATGAGTGAAATACGGTGGTGACAAAATCAGACCAGTGAATGTGGGACTCACACAGCTCACAGTTTCCTGACCTGACCTTAGCTTCTCCTGCTAATAGTTTCTCTCAGGGCAACTAGAACTTCAGTTCATTTTTGATTATTGGTGTAAAGCTGGTTTGACCTGTGCAGCCTATGAGTAATCCATTGTCACTTTCACTTGAACCCAAATGGAGTTTCCTATTACTATTTGCATTGCATTTAAATGAGATGGAAGGCCTTCACATCCTTTATCAATTTGCTTCTCATGACATATCTCTGCTCTAAATCCATTAGACCTAGAAGCTATGATATTATGGATTCGATAGGAAATTAACAACACTGAATTTTTGGTGATAGTAGAGAAATTATTACTTAGAAATGAAAAGTTTGTGCATGCTGCATTACTTGTGAATTTATCTTAATTGGCTTTTGTGGGATTTAGTTTTCATGTAGCACCTCGCATGAATATTAAAGGACAACAATTATTTTCCCCCCTCAGAATCTCATATTTTAACATTAATAAAACAGTGTGACAAGGGCTAAGTAGAGGGAAAAATATGTGAGGAAGTGTACAGTATATATTTTAAAATTTTAATGCAATAAGTTACAATTGCTATGTAACCCATACTCAGCATTCACACCTGTTGACATAAATACACAGAATACTTTGGTAGGGGGCATATCCATATTCAATATTTCCCTCTCCTGTAAACACCTCTACTTATAAAATAGCACAAAGGTGCAGCCACTCGTAATTCAGGAGTAAAGCCAGATGTCGCTCAAAAGAGGTTGAACCCTCCCCAAAAAAGTACAGCCTACAAGCCTAAACCTTTCCTTTTAACAAAAACCCAAGCACACATTTTCCATGACCACAGGCCCCACGTATGTTTGTCCTTCTATCATGACTATATCTCATTTACAAAAGTGATTTAATATTTTGTAAAATGGCCACAGCCTTCTTCCTGGAAGGGTAATAATGAAAACCAGTCAACATGACTGCATTCCAGCCAACGGGACTGTTTTTGGCAGGCCAGAGGTATTATAAACGCATGCATAATGTATGTAGCCATTGAACTGGCTGAGTGCAACCTGTTCTCTTTTAAAATGACGGCTGCTCTTTCTTTATGGTATTTTGAACAGACGATGAGCCAGATGATGGTGCCCAACATTACATTATAGTTGTGGGCTTCAACAATCCTCAGCTATTAGCGATCATGACTGAGCTTGGCATTCCCATAAGCAGCGTGATTAAAATATCTTCAGAGAATTATGAGCCTCTGCAGACACACCTGGCAGCAGTTAGCCAGCAGCAGGAAGTTCTTCTTCAGCCACAAGGTATGCAGTCTGCTACACAACCCACTGAATCGTTCAGGATTACCCACTGTCTGTAAAGAACAAATAGAACTTTCTGTCCAAAAAAATAGTCCCACAATATATTCGCTATTAAACCCTTTTAAACTTTGATTCTCTATTTATTCTGCTTGCTCTAGCCAGGTGCTATAAATTTTGCATATTAAAATCATATTCTGTTTATATCTCTGTGTAGCCACAGAGAATATGGACTGGGGGGCAGAAGACTTGGTTGTCTGAATACTTTTCTCAGGAACATTTAATCTGTAACTTTTGCCTAAAGCATGGGCTAGAATAGATCAACTGTAGCTAATGTATTCTTCCAGAAGCCTCAGTCACCACATGGCCCAGGGGAGGTCATAGCTTCGGATGCTTGCTCTGTTTTGCTTTTGGCTTATTGTGATAAATCAGGTCACTTTGTCTTCCAAGCCTGAGACTATGAAGCTGTAGAGTGATGGCCCTACCACCCTACCATTCAGACATTTGGAGTCATGGGGTCTTCATCTAAGGGAGTTGTGCCAGAATGGCACTGTGGGAAGGGAACTGAGAGTTACTGTACACTTTGGATGACAGAACAGGGATTCGGTGTAAGCCTGAGTGACCTGGAAGTCCACGATTTTCTGCCAGCCTCCATTGCTTTTATTGTTATTTATTAATAATACCATTTGCACAGTGGTTTGTAATCTATACAACCACATCCCAGTTTCTAGAACTGTATTTTGAATTTTGCTATTCCACGTTAGAAATTTCTACCATCGATGATAATAATAGTCACCATTTATTGGGCAGATGCCTTGGGATGAGCCTCAGTGCTAAGGGCTTTCGGTGCATTGATTTCTATAATTCCTACAACCACCTTTGGAAGCCTGTTTTATTACAGCCGGTCCCTAACTCACAATGGTTGGACTTAACAAATGTTCAGCTTTACGATGGTGTGCAAGAGATTTGCATTCAGAAGAAAACTCACCTTGAAGTTTGAATTTTGATTTTTTCCTGGGCTAACAACATGCTGTGTGATCCTCTCTTGTGATTCTGGATGGCGGCAGCTTCCAGCCATCCACATGATCATGAGGCAAAACTACTGATACACTGACAGTCATTCTATCCCACAGAGCCATTCTGTTTCACACTTTCAGTACAGTATTCAGTAAATTACAAGAGATGTGCAACACTCTATTATAAAATAGGCTTTGTGAAGTTGCCCAACTGTTGGCTAATGTAAGTATTCTGAGCACATTTAAGGTAGGCTGAGCTAAGCTATGAAGTTCAGAAGGTTAAGGGTATTATATGCACTTTCAAATTTTCAATTTACGATGTGTTTATTGGGATATAACCCCATCCCCATCATATGTCAAGATGGATCTGTACTTCCATTTTACCAAAAGGATGCTCAGTCTAGAGGCAGCTACTAAGGAAAAGAGGTGAGATCCAAACCCAGATACTCCTGTCTGAAAGCATAGTTGTAACATTAAATAACTTACTATTGAAGCTACTGAGAAAATGTTCCATAAGTCTATAGCCTCTCTACAAACATATTTAATATATAGAAATAAAATCACAGAAAAATAGACTTTATAATAGAATAATGAGATCTTAGTAGTAGAACCCATTTAGTTATAGGTGTAATAAACAAATATTATAGGCAAAATTTCTCATGTAACGTTATGGGAATTGGTCATTATTTTATAGTTGGAGCACAAATGCTCAGAGAAGGCTATAGCTGTTTGAATGTGACCAAAAGTTACCTGAAACATCAATCACTGGTCTATTTTTAGCCATGTGAGAAGAAGAATTGGATCACCAGCTTTTCTAACCAATTATGAAGCAAACACACTAAGATGGTCAAACAGTGATTTGGCAGAAAAACTGCTCCTACACAGATGCAATCTAAGGGAGATGGAAATCTCCAGCATATTTAGCTCCACGAATGTGTGACCTTATCGTAAGGTTTCCAGGTCTCAAGTGTAAAATGAAGGAGTGGGATGAGCTCATGTTTCATATCAATTTCAGAAGTAAAATCCTCTGATATCATAACTGTATAATCCAAGTCCAAAACCTTCTCAAAATTATGTTTGCATATTTGCCTTTTCTGATACTACACAGACTTCTCGCAATGCATATAACCCACCATGTCCACTTAGAGTGGGGAAAAAAATGTAACTTCCTCATTTTGTTGTGTTAACATGTTGCTATGATTAGACATAGAGGCTGAAAAACTGAAGAAAGTGAATGCCATAAAAGAACTTGAAATTTTCTGGAAGTACCTGGAACCAATCCTGAATAATGAGAAACCTGAAACAAATCTCTTTGACGTTGCTCGACTGGAATACATGGTCAAGACAGAAAACTTTCCTTCTGACTGGGCAGACAGCAAGATGATGGTTAGTACAAGCATTAGTAAGAGTGAATGGCTTGACCATGTGGTAGTGCAGTTCCATTCATCACATCCGTTCATTCCACAGACATTCACTGAGCATTGACTATGCACATGGCTTTGTGCTAGACTCCTTCATCTTCAAGACAGTGATAATACTGAATGCCCAGTGATGGTTACAGCCTGGGTCTTTAGCTTTTAGTATACGGATTAATGGCAAAGAATAAGGTAGAGATGAAGATGAAGGAAGGTAATTCTTTTATTTGGTGGCATGTGGCTTTGTTTCATATTTCAACAGTGCTGTTGGCAGTAGAGTCTTAATATATGATGTGTTGTGAAAATAGTAAATTTTACAGTTTTTCAAATTACATTATCTTTCTTTTTTTAATATATCAATTTAAAATATTGTTTTTCTAGGCCCTTAATTTTATTGCCAAATATGTATTTTTAATTTTTTGGCCAACAAGTTCTATCCTAATAGAATGATTTGGATCCACCAATTAACAGGTATTTTCTGAGAGCATTTACTGACCCCTGATACTGAGGGTCTCGCAGAGAGGTTATGACCAAAACCATGAAACGGAGAAGCCGTGTTCAAGGTGCCATGCACCCAAGCGCTTAGTTACGTGAAACATACTCTAAGTTTTCTATTAATTTAGAAAAAGAAGAAATGGGACGCATCAAAAAGTACTAGCAAAGGCTAGATACACAAGGGTGTTTTAAAAAAGAAGGGTGAGTGACTACTTCTCACAGATGTTGTGGAGGATATTCAAGTATGCCTATCCCAGAAAACTTCTCCAGTCTCTTTCAGGCTGACCCCCTGTTCCAACAAACAGGGACCCAGAAGTGCTGAATTTCCTGCAGGGTGATCTATTTCAGCATCAAGGGAGCTGAACTCCTGGGGAAAGCAGAGTCCTGGGGGAGTGATCACACCAAATGAGTGCTCTGCAGGGAGCTGGGCAAAGTGGGATAGAGGGAGTGGGTGGATGTCATGTACAATAACTGTGGGCAGCTGACAAAAAGAAAACTGTCTAAAAGAAGAATAATATTGAAGCTTGGAACAGTTTCCGAGTCAAAGGATAGGCTGCCCACTGTCATGGGTTGGAGCATGAACATCTCTCTCTTGAGAGTCTCTGGCTGTATTGTCTCGATATGGATGTGCACATGGTGAAGTAAGAAAAAACACTGAGGAGGGAAGCCCAGATCTGAACCTTGAAGGAAGGACAAGATTTGAATAAGTAACCATGCGTAGATCAGCTTGAGTGGCGAAGACCGTCAACATAAAGCATGAAATGCCACAGTTGTAGAAACAGAGCACAGAAGTCTGAGACCTTGTAAGAATAAATAGTAGCCTTGACCTGTATGTGGAGATGAAGCTGAACTTAGAGAATCTGTGGCTGAAGGCAGAATTGTTCTAAGCAAAACCGGTTATGCCAAACTCCCTTGGCGTGGCCTCTTTGCACCCCTTCATCTAGGCATCTCCATCTTTCCTGTTTTGTCTTTCGCTCTTCTGCCTCCTAAACCTGAGCTCAGATAAAGAATCCACTGCCCTCTGTCCCGTACTGTTTCATGCCAAATTTGGTCAATATGCTTCTCTACGCTGGAGATATTTGGTATTCCAAGTAATTTAATACTATGATTATTCCCTCCTATTTTATAGAAACTCTAGATTATGTCCGACAAGTATGAGATATGTTTGGGGAAGAAGCTATATCCCTAGATATCCCTGAAATCCCACCTCAAAGTCAGCTTCCTACTCTTTCTCTCCAGCAGACTCTCTCTTCTCCTAAGAACATAAAATCTATGTATAACAGAAACCTACATCTGCAAATTTATGTTTTGGAGAAACAGTCTTTCCTGTCATTTGGGCCAAATCCTGGCAGCATAAGCTCTCAAGAACTTGTGTACATTTTTGGTTCAATCAGGTGTAGGAGATATAATTCCTGAGCCATAATTCATAGGATTCAGTAAAAAGAGTCTTCCAAGACAGCCTCAGACCACATATCTTTCACTCTTACCCTAGTTAGGGCTTTCTTCTTTGTGGTTTCTTTACCCTCCAGGCATAGACTGAGAGGAGCTAAAATGTATTGAGCCCAAAGTAAAGTACATCCCATTGCATCTTCAGCACACAGATAGATGTAAACACCAAGGCACATAATCACAGCTTTGAAGGACCCAGCACCCTGCTTCCTCCTCCAGTGTCCACAATTTTCTGTTCATTAGATTTTAGTCCCTCCATCTTTAAAGAAAATGAATTGACTATTTTACTTTTTTAAAACCTAGAGTAGAAGAATTTAAATGGCCATTAAAGTTCGGAAATTTTTATGTTAAAAAAGATAGTATCATCTCAGTTGAAATACTAGTGATGGTAGAACATTCCAGACCTCAGAACTAGAACGTTAGCACTGAGGATATTTGGTCAGGCCTTGAAAGTAATAGGAATGACAACATTCAGTTGTCTAGGGAGCCGCTTATGGCTGTGCTGCCCAGTTGGGCACACTGATCTCCTTAATCAGTCTGGAAGTATTTATTGAATATCTTCTTCATGCCAAAGCTGTGGTCTGGGTTCAACTACAGCATTTTTTTTAGAGTCCAAGCATGCCTCTATAAGGTACTATTTGTGGGTGAATGACCGAGTATTGAGGATGATAGGGAAAGAGAGCCTTGAAAACATTTTGGTAATGGAGTTGGGTTTGGGGTTCAAAAAGAAAGGCCATTGGGTTTCATATTGAAGAACAACGTTAACATTAAAGTTTGAATCACCCGAGAAACCTAAAAGTAATAAATCTACTTCTCATAGAAATAGACTAACTACATGGTATGGATACACGACATGTGCTAAGTTGGTATTGTCCTCATATCCAAAGCAGAAGCCAGCCAACGAGTCTTCTTCCTCTCTGGAAGAAGGAAAGCATTAGTACATTTGTCTGCAAACAAGTAGGCTGTTTTTCTGCTGAACCAAGGTAACGAAAGCTTTACATCAAATAAATGCCCATCAAGAAGTGCTAACTGCTCACGTAAGACATCTGCAACAGCTCAAGTTAAGACCCAGGTTGCTGAAATAATTTTCTGGCTTTTAGCATGTGATTTGCTGTTTGATTTAAAAATGAATTAACTAGTTAAGCTAAGGGATCATCAGGCAGAAGTCTTACCATATTTCTTATGACTACAAGCCAAAACTGTGTTTCTGTGCCAGAATTTAGGCAAAGAATAGCAGGTTGAAGCTTAACTGAAGAATGCTCCATCACAGAGTAGGCATGTGAATCCTGGACTGGCCGGTCTGCCTTGAAGATGGGCAGAACCTAGCACTTCTCTAGCCTCCTGCCAGACTGCGACTCACTGGCCCCCCAAAAAGTTATCTCATTCTACCTTACCTCTGTAACTCAGAGCTAAGATGAGCCCCCTTAACCCTTCTTTGTTTTCAGGCAGGCCGACCAAGTGATAACAGTGCTTTTCCAGTTCTGGAAATGAAAGTCCAGATAATAGGGTTTTCTGATTTACCACTTGCTTTCTTGCTAGATAATAAAGCTTATGGGTATTAGATACAGAAATAGTGGACTATCTATTTCTTAGGGTTTTTTCCCCCTGAAGGTAGCACAGAACAGATATTGAAGATACCTATCTAATATGATGTTTTAGAAACTGAGACATCAGAATATAGGCCATGTTACAGAAACTAATGAACAGAGTGCTTTTCACTGAGTTGAAGCATTAATTAGATTCTTACAGTATGAGACATAAGGCCCCTCCAAAGGGAACATTCCACATTGTGGTGAACAAGGTGGACAAGAAGGATTCAACACATAAAGACTCACTCACCATGGCTGCTATCCAGTGGCTTGGGGATGTGCTTGGTGGAGCTGTTAAGAGAGAAACAAACTGTACATCTGATTCCAACAACATAAAACTAATAATTAACTGTCATTAATTCTCTCATCTGTAGCTGGAATTGGGTACTGAAATTTTTGAAAATGTTGCCTGTTTGATGTATGACACCCTGGATTGGAAGAGGCAGCACCAACACTACTTGGAAAGCATGCAGCTTATTAATATTCCACAAGTGGTTAGTGAGAAGCCTATCTTGGAAGCCACGTCAGTTACTGAGGTAGGCACATCCTGGAATGTCTTCAGTGGGCTGAATGATTAACGGAACAACGTAATGTTCACATATGTGAAACATATGAAGGAAAATTTACAGAAATACTTGAAGGAAGGAAATACTGCCTTCTGGGATTTAAGGGGTAAGGGTGGGAACAAGGAGAGCTCCCCAAGCACAGCCTAAAGGGCACCTATGTGGTCAGGACTTTAAGAAGCTCCCTAACTACCTGCCACATTGATATAACTCATATTTCAGCCCCTGGTACAATAAATAAAACCTGAAACAAGGAAGGATATTGGTAAATTAATCACATTGTTTATTTAGCACTTAAAATCATGAACAAGACTCATCCCTTGTCCTCCTCATTGAGGTTGATTTTTAGAGAGGATGGCAGTCACATCAACAGCGGTTTCAGCATGGCCTGATGAGCGCTGTGAGAGCAGTCAGCTTGGGCTGCAAGTAGAAACACTAAAACATGGTACCCAACCTGATCTTGAGAGGAGCGGCAGGGGGAGGAGGAGAAGTCAGGAAAGCCTCACCCAGCAGGGTAAGTGATGTGGTGAAGGCTGCATATGAACTGTCTCCAGGAAAGCCCAATGGGGGTAGGGACAGAAAGGTCTTCTCAAGAAAGAGGCAAAGATGTACACAATTATAGGGCCAAAGAAAAGAAGTATAAGAGCACAAGCCAGGACCACGGGGTAGACCTGTGCTTCCAGGTAGTATGTGCAAAATGGAGAACAACAACACAGACTTCTACTAAAGAGACAGGAGCAGGATGCCCTTTGGTGCTGACTTAAAGAGTTTGGGTTGTATGCGGAAGGAGATGGGGAACCACTGACGGCATGATTCTGAGTCACCCAGGGCCTGTGCTCCATCTCCCCATCCCCTTCCTGGTGATTGTTCAGTGGGACCTGTTAGGAAAAACTGAAAAATGTCCACTAACCATTGGATCCTAATATTAGACAAAGGTTTTGTGGTGTGAACATAATCCTACAATCTCAGAATCCTGTCAGACCCCACCATAGCAGTATTTGATGAAAGCATCTCTCAGCTGGATATCTCAGTTGTTTCTTTTGAATTCTTCACTTAGGCTCCACAACCTGCTGCTTCAACCCCTGGCAAGAAGAAACCACAGTACGAGGAACCTCAAGCCCCACCATCAGGCATGTATGAAACCTGAAGACCAACATTGGGAGCTGGTGCTTTAGGGAATACCGACTAGCCTCCATATTGCCTTCAGACATCCCTCCAACCTCACTCCCTGCATTTATTAGGACATGGTCATAGTTTGAATTTATGGATCAAATGTTGATGGAAGAAATGGAGAATACATCTCAATTGAGCAATGATATATTGTATATTTTACAGTAGCTTTCGTCTTCACAACTGAAGTAGACATGAGATATTACAATGACTTGCTGAATTCTGTTCCAGAAGAATTAATCTCTGTGCCCCTGATACTGCACTGTATGCTGGAACAGGTAGGTGGATATATGCCAAGGCTTTTCTCCCAGGGGAGGTCACCTTGTCAGTCACTTCAACTCTCTTTGCTTTGGGTTTTAGCAATTTTAAAACTACACACATAATACCTGAGTGTATTCTCCTTTATAAAGATTAGAACATTTTAGACAAAACTAAAGTTTGCTTTGACCATCTGCTTTAATATCCTTTCTTTTGCTATGCTCTGGAACAATTTATATAACATTCCCTGAAGTATTGGCAGACATAGCTTTGAAACTGTGTCTGGTGTCATCTATTTATATATTTTTTAAAAATGTTCTATTTATTTCTGAGAGAGAGAGACAGCGTGAGCAGGGGAGGGTCAGAGAGAGAGGGAGACACAGGCTCCAGGCTCGGAGCTAGCTGTCAGCACAGGGCGCGATGCGGGGCTTGAACCCACGAACCGTGAGATCATGACCTGAGCTGAAGTCGGACACTTAACCGACTGAGCCACCCAGGCGCCCCTATTTATTTTTTAACTTAATCCAAGTTAGTTAGCATACAGTGCAATAATGGTTTCAGGAGTAGATTCCAGTGATTTATCCCGTATGTGTAACACCCAGTGCTCATCCCAACAAGTGTCTTCCTTAGTGCTCCTTATACATTTAGCCCATCCCCCCACCCACAATCCCTCCAATAACTTACAGCTTGTTCCCTGTATTTAAGAGTCCCTTATGTTTTGTCTCACTCCCTGTTTTTATATTATTTTTGCTTCCCCTCCTTTATGTTCGTCTGTTTTGTATCTTAAATTCTACATATGAGTGTAGTCATATGATATTTGTCTTTCGCTGACTTACTAATTTCACTTTAGCATAATGCCCTCAAGTTCCATCCACATTGTTGCAAATGGCAAGATTTCATTCTTTTTGATTGCTGAGTAATACTCCATTGTGTGTGTGTGTGTGTGTGTGTGTGTGTGTGTGTGTGTGTGTGTGTGTATTACATATTCTTTATCCATCATCCATCGATGGAAATTTGGGCTCTTTCCGTACTTTGGCTATTGTTGATAGTGCTGCTATAAACATTGGGTTGCATGTGCCCCTTTGAAATAGCACACGTGTATCGCTTGGATAAATACCTAGTGGTGCAATTGCTGGGTTGTAGGGTAGCTCTATTTCTAACTTTTTGAGAAACTTCCACGCTGTTTTCCAGAGTGGCTGCACTAGTTTGCATTTCCACCAGCAGTGCAAAAGAGATTCTCTCTCCACATCCTCACCAACATCTGTTGTTGCCTGAGTTGTTAATTTTAGCTATTCTGACTGGTCTGAGGTGGTATCTCATTTTATGTTTTTTTTAAATTTTTAATGTTTATTTCCTTTTTTAAAAAATTTTGTTTTGTTTTATTTATTTTTGAGACAGAGAAAGACAGAGCATGAGTGGGGGAGGGGCAGAGAGAGAGGGAGACACAGAATCTGAAAGCGGCTGCAGGCTCTGAGCTGTCAGCACAGAACCTGATGCGGGGCTCAAACCCATGAACAGTGAGATTATGACCTGAGCCGAAGTCAGACGCTCAACCGACTGAGCCACCCAAGCGCCCCTAATGTTTATTTTCTAGAGAGAGAGACAGACAGAGACAGAGCATGAACTGGGGGAGGGGCAGAGAGAAAGGGAGACACAGAATCTTTTTTTTTTTTTAGGCTACTAAATGCTATATGCATTTTTATTCCAATATTAACAAACATAGGCACAAACTTCCAGTTGTAAAATACTTAAGTCACAGGGATGTAATGTATAGCCTGGTGACCATAGTTAACAATTCTGTATTACATATTGGAAAGTTGCTAAGAGTGTAAATCTTAAAAGTTCTCATCAGAAGAAGACAAATTTGTAACTCTATATGGTGACAGATGTTAACTAAATTTATTGCAGTGATCATTTTGCAATATATACAAATATCGAATTATTATGTTCTACACCTGAAACTAATGTAATGTTACATGTCAATTATACCTCAATAAAATATACATATATATAAATATCAAGAGGCTATAAGGAAATATGCTAAAATATATCAAAATATTAACAGTGGGATTGGGATGGTGGTTAATTTTAATTTTCTTCCTCATCCCTCTTTTTATATTTGGTATTTTCTAAACTTTCAGCAGTAGGATGATGTCGTTTCTTTAGGTTTGTTTTTAATGAGAAAAGCAATGGTAGATATTATTTTTAAAAGATTTGGAAGAGTGAGCCCCACATCACTAAGCAGGTGGAAATGGGCTGGGGAGGGGTTGGGCTCCAGTCAGAGGTAGGTCTTTGAGAACATACAGTTTTAAGAGCCCTCTACAGAAGGAAGGTAACCACATAGATGGGGATGTATAATTTACAATGCAGGTAAGTATAAGGCACTGGCCCCGCAAGGGAAGCCTGTCTCACACTTGAAAAGGGCATAAGTGGAGGACATAAGGGCATAAGCCATCGTATCTCCTGTTACCACTTCAAGAAGTTTTCTTAGTGCAGTGGTTCTCAAAGTACAGTCCCTGGTCCAGCGATATCAGCATTCTGGGGAGACTTGGGAGAAATGCACGTTCTCAGGCCCTGGCTGAGCCCAAGGGATTGTGGTGGAGTGGGGTGGGGTGGCGGATGGAGCAGTGTTAACAATGGCTGCAGGGGCTTCTGAGGTACCCTCAAGTGTGAGAACCACTGGTGGAGAGAACCCGTGCCCTGTCACTGGTCTTTTCAGAATGGATGGATGACTGACAGCACAATTCCTGAGCTGGATGTGAAGTTAGGCTGACATCTCTGAAGTTCCTTCTGGAGCTGTGATTCCAGATGCAGCCCCAGGGTATAAATCTGGGGAGACACAGAATCTAAACCAGGCCCTGGGCTCTGAGCTGTCAGCACAGAGCCCGACATGGGGCTTGAACACCCAAAACATGAGATCATGACTTGAGCTGAAGTCAGATGCTTAACCGACTGAGTCACTCAGGCACCCCTCATTGTGGTTTTAATTTGTATTTCCCTGATCATGAGTGATGTTGAGCATTTGTTTCATGTGTCTGTTAGCCATATGGATGTCTTCTTTGAAAAAGTGTCTATTCGTGTCTTTGGCCCATTTCTTCACTGGGTTATTTGTTTTTTGGATGTTGAGTTTGATAAGTTCATTATATACTTTAGATACTAACCCTTTACCTGACATGTCATTTGCAAACACCTTCTTCCCATTCTGTTGGTTGCCTTTTAGTTTTGCTGATTGTTTCCTTTGCAGTGCAGAACCTTTTTATATTGATGAGATCCCAATAGTTCGTTTTTGCTTTTGTTTCACTTGCCTCCAGAGACGTTGAGTAAGAAGCTGCGGCCGAGGTCAAAGGTGGGGGGGGAGGGGGTTGCCTGCTTTGTCCTCTAGGATTTTGATGGCTTCCTGTCTTACATTTAGGTCTTTCATTCATTTTGAGTTTATTTTTGTGTATAGTGTAAGAAAGTGGTCCAGGATCATTTTTCTGCATGTTGCTGTCCAGTTTTCCCAACACCGTTTGCTGAAGAGACTGTCTTTATTCAACTGGAGATTCTTTCCTGCTTTGTCAAAGATTAGTTGGCCATACATTTGTGGGTCCATTTCTGGGTTCTCTATTCTATCCCATTGATCTGACTGTCCTTTTTTTTTGTGTGTGTGCCAGTACCGTACTGTCTTCATGATTACAGCTTTGTAGTACATCTTGAAGACGAGCTTTGATTTTCTTTTTCAGGATTGCTTTGGCTATTCAGGGTCTTTTCTGGTTCCATACAAATTTTAGGATTGTTTGTTCTAGCTCTGTAAAGAATTCTGGTGTTATTTTGATAGGGATAGCATTGAATATGTAGATCACTTTGGGTAGTTTTGACATTTTAAGAGTATTTGTTCTTCCAATCCATGAGCATGGAATATTTTTCCTTTTGTGTGTGTGTGTGTGTGTGTGTGTTCTTTAATTTCTTTCATAAGCTTTCTATACATAGATTTTTCACTTCTTTGGTTAAGTTTATTCCTAGGTATTTTATGGTTTTTGGTGCAGTTGTAAATGGGATTGATTCCCTGAATTCTCTCTCTGTTGCTTCATTACTGGTGTATAGAAATGCAACTGGTTTCTCTGCATTGATTTTATATCCTGTGACTTTGCTGAATTCATGGATCAGTTCTAACAGGTTTTTGGTATAATCTTTTGGGCTTTCCATGTAGAGTATAATGTAGTCTACAAAGAGTGAAAATTTGACCTCCTCCTGGCCAATTTGGATACCTTTTATTTCTTTTTGTTGTCTGATTGCTGAGTCTATGACTTCCAATACTATGTTGGATAACAGTGGTGAGAGTGGACATTCCTGTCATGTTCCTGACTTTAGGAGGAAAGCTCTCAGCTTTTTCCCATTGAGGATGATATTAGCAGTGGGTCTTTCATATATGGCTTTTATGATCTTGAGGTATGATCCTTCTATCCTTGCTTTCTTGAGGGCTTTTTATCAAGAAAGGATGCTGTGTTTTGTCAAATGCTATCTCTGCATCTACTGAGAGGATCATGTGGTTCTTGTCCTTTCTTTAATTGATGTGATGTCTCACATTGATTGTTTTGTAGATATTGAACCAACCCTGCATCCCAGGTATAAATCCCACTTAGTCATGGTAAATAATTCTTTTAATGTATTGTTGGATCCAGTTGGCTAGTATCTTGTTGAGGAGTTTTGCATCCATGTTCATCAGGGAAATTGGTCCATAGTTCTCCTTTAGTGGAATCTTTGGCTGGCTTTGGCATCAGGGTATTGCTGGCTTCATAGAATGGGTTTGGAAGTTTTCCTTCCATTTCTATTTTTTTAACAGCTTCAAAAGAATAGGTATTAATTCTTCTATAAATGTTTGGTAGAATGCCCCTGGAAAGCCAGCCAGCCCTGGACTCTTGTTTTTTGGGAGATTTTTTATTATTAATTCAATTTCTTTACTGGTTATGGGTCTGTTCAAATTTTTTATTTCTTCTTGTTTCAATTTTGCTAGTCTATGTGTTTCTAGGAATTTGTCCAT